ATTTAATCTTCCATACCAAGGAAGAAAAGAGCTGTCCTTGAATCGAAGAACGAGAAACGTGAACAATTAAAAGAGAGAAAGAGAGAGAAAGAAAGAAGAGGTCTCTGATGTCGCTGTCAACGAGAAGGACGAGTTATAAGGGAAATCTATCCGTCCCCGTGATAGGTCCTCCGATTCTATCCTCATTACTCCGTGGAAAAGCAAATAAAGATCCTCGAGAGGAGACAGATCGTTGGGAAGGGAGGAAATTTCTCGAGTTTCTTTCTCAACGTTTCTCTTTCATGCGCAACGTTTCGATTCGATTTCTTTGCAGATCTTCGATCCCCCTTGATTGCTACAATCGGAAATTGGAGCGTGTTCGAGGAGACGGTGGATGGCAAATTCAAAACGAGCGTGCACAAGCAATGCCTAGCGGCGACACACGCGCGTACACATTCTCTCGACAGCCTTGATGCATGGCTCCCGTTTAGTTGGAGCCGGATACTTGGATCGAAATGGCCTGGTTGATTGGGACGATCCCGCCGTTCCATCGATCGATAGATCGAACGATCTCCCGTTCGATCGATGTGGAGATGTTATTACTCGATCAATATCGCCATTAATTTCGAACTCGAATCGAGAATGAAAGGAAAGGAGGGTGTTTGAAAATTTTTTTTTAAATTTTAACGCATCGCCGATTTTTATTCGATTAATTATTCTGTAATTTTACGGTACAGAAACAGTAAATTACGTGTTAATGAGATAAAATTATTAATGAATTTTATTATCGAAGGTCAAATTTGATTATTTATTAATTTTTCATTATATAAGATTATTAAAATTGATAACTAAATTAAATCACTTCAAAAAAATTTATTTGGAATAAACAAATAAGAGATATCATTCAAGTTCAATACCTGAATAGGAATATTTATTAACAATTTTAAAATTATCGCCTAAATGACACGGATATTGAAAATTAACAAAATAATCTAAAAGATCTTTGATGAATTAAAATTTTATAATTATTAAAAATTATCACAAAAATTAGACAAAGAATAAGTAAACAAATAAAATTACTAACCTCAAATTCATTTTTTTATTGTATTTCCTGATATAAGAAACTGCTGATAATATATAAAATCCTATCCAATAAACGCTGTCGCTATCGATACAATTAAAATCCCAATTCCTCGTAACTCCACTTAATTTAAACGAACAATAATAATCGAAATATGAATGATATTTTCCAATATTCGAACGGAAGAAACGTTAGATTTGAAAGAAAAGCGAGGAAGAATCAAGAACGGACAAAAATACCCGCAAAACGTAAGTCGAGGCGATTGTTTAAACACTTGCCGTTTATCGAGGACGGATAGTAGTCGTCCGCTCGATTAGAAGGATGATCTAATTTCGCCACGAATCGGTCGGCGAAAGTGGCTCGACAATTCAGGACATCCTGCTCCTGATTAGGTTTATTTGCGGGTGGCCGGCCGGAGCTATGTCCAACATCCTGAAAATCAATGGATGGTACAACCGGGGCTCGGAGGGAGAGAGAGAGAGAGAGAGAGAGACAAACAAGATAGGCATACAAGATTGGTCCGATGACAACAGTAGCTCTCTCTCTCTCTCTCTCTCTCTCCTCGATGGAACGCTTGATTACCACGGATAATTATAGACGACGCAATGATTTGTATTAATGGGGTTCGCGTTGATACTTAACGCACGGGGCGATTTATCACGCGTGACGTACGGCCGCTTCGTTACTTGTGTGGCGCGAATTTAACGAGAGACCGACTGTGCGCGAAATACGATCGATCTATATATCGAATTTAACATTCGTTCGATACAGGTAACAATTTCGATTAATTTTTTTTTTTTTTTTTTTAATACAAGCTAAACTATGTAATATAGGTTTTGTTTCTTTTAAAGAAAAATGGTTAATAATGAGTTAACGAATTGGCTCATCGATCTATATCGAATTTAACATTCGTTCGATGCAGGTAACAATTTCGATTAATTTTTTTTTTAAATATAAGCTAAACTATGTAATATAATGTAGATTGTTTTTTTTTTTTTTAAGGAAAACAATTGATAACGAGTTAACGAATTGGCTCATCGATCTATATATCGAATTTAATATTCGTTCGATGCACGTAACAATTTCGATTAATTTTTTTTTTTTTTTTTTTAATAAAAGCTAAACTATGTAATATAGGTTTTGTTTCTTTTAAAGAAAAATGGTTAATAATGAGTTAACGAATTGGCTCATCGATCTATATCGAATTTAACATTCGTTCGATGCAGGTAAGAATTTCGATTAATTTTTTTTTTAAATATAGAGTAAACTATGTAATGTAGATTGTTTTTTTTTTTTTTTTAAGAAAAACAGTTGATAACAAATTAACGAGTTGGCTGACTGTGCGCAAAATATCGATCCATATATCGAATTTAACATTCGTTCGATGCAGATAACAATTTCGATTAATTTTTTTTTTTTTTTTTTTAATAAAAGCTAAATTATGTAATATAGGTTTTGTTTCTTTTAAAGGAAAATGGTTAATAATGAGTTAACGAGTTGGCTGTACGCGAAATACCATCGATCTATATATCGAATTTAATATTCGTTCGATACAGAAGAATTTCGATTAATTTTTTTTTTTAAATACAGGGTAAACTATGTAATGTATGTAACTATGTTGTTTTTTTTAAAAAAAAATGATTAATACGAATTGATCGTTTTCATGGAAAGTAATTAAGTATTTATTGTCATGGATTAATTTGGGTCGAGGCAAGGTTAAATGCATAAGTTGATAATTTTGAAAGTTCAAAGACTGATTTCGAAATTTTATTATTCGATCGAGAGATTCTTTAGGAACAATAACTTACGATTGGAAATTTTCGAAGATTTCGAACGACACTGACGTGGCCATTTTGACGATAACGTAAGAGAAAATATATTATTGGAAATGATATATCTGATGTTAATTATTGGAAATGATATATCTATGTTAAACGTAGATTGGTTATATTGTTGTATTTCTAAAATGCAGTTGGTCGAGCGATGAGTATGCATTATTAACTTAACGGTACATAATCTAACAGTACTCTGTTAAGACCGTTATTATGAGTAATTTATTGTTATACAGCACATACTTGAATTATAATTATCGATTTTCGAGAAAAAACAAAATATTTACGATCGAAAATAGATAAGAAAATGTAGAAATAGAAAAAGTAAAAAAATTCTCTAAACGGAAATGAATATATTTTTATAAAAAATATATCATTGAAAATGATATACCTGATATTTTTATAAATATTCTTATTTTAACTGTAGAATGCATTAACTTAACGACATTCTCTATAATAAAAACCATTTATTATTACGAGTAATTTATTATACAGTACATACTTGATCGAATCATAATTATCGATTTTCGAGAAGGAACGAAATTTACGACACATCGAAAATAATAAGAAAATGTAAAAATAGAAAAAGTAAAAAAATTCCCTAAACGGAAATGAATATATTTTTACAAAAAATATATCATTAAAAATGATATATTTGATATTTTATAAATATTCTTATTTTCAAAATGCAGTGTGTACATTAACTTAACGATATTAATAAATACAATATATACTTGATGAAATCGTAACTATCAATTTTCGAAAAGGAATGAAAAATTTATGACGGATTAATTGATCGAAGATAAGAAGAACGTAATAAAAGAAAAAACTAAAAAGATTCTCTAAACGAACACGAATATTTTTTTACAAAAAATATATCATTAGAAATGATATACCTGATATTTTATAAATAAACGTAGACTGATTATATTCTTATTTGCAAAATGCAGAGTATACATTATTAATGATACTCTGTTAATAAATATCGTTTATTATATATAATTTATTATTATACAACACACTTAATGAAATTGTAACGTATCGATTTTCGAGAAGGAACGGAAAATTTACAGCGGACTAATTGATGGAAAATGACAAGAAGAAGAAGAAGTTGATGATTCTCTCTAAACGAAAATGAATACATTTTAATAAAAAAAAAAAAAAAAATTTCCAAAAAAACAAACGATAGATATTAAATGGCGCAAACATCGTTACGTGATGTTTAAACTTAATAGTGGTTTATGCTCCCGAATTTTCATTGTAAAAAAATATCGACACTGCAGAAGTTACCGCGAATACAGAGCCCGGGCCGCATGTAAACATCGGATAGATTCGATGTTCCCCCCCCCCCCCCCCCTCCCGATATGAACAATACTTGGAAATCGTTATTCGTTAAATAAAATGTGAACGTGGCGCGCATTATACGCGAAAGGAACGAAAGGCCACGGTTCGAAATCGTTATTTATCTCGAAACGCGTGCCGTTTTTATCCGCAATTACTCGAAGGCAGATGTTTATCAATTACGGCCACGTTTTTTTTGCGTGTTTTATTTCGATCGAAAGAAAGATCTGGTTTTGTTTAAATTCGAAATGGGAACAAAATAATTAAATATATATAAAAGAATACACAGTTTATTTAGTTTAAAAATTTAACCATCCCTTATTCGTTTTCTCCACGCTCTTCAAATTTTCAATATTCGAGAATATAATGCTCGTCGAATATTAATAACAAAGAAATATAACTATTTTTAATAATAATAATAGAACATAGGGGTAAAAAGAGGCACTAAAAAGAGGCAAGTTGTAGAAAGCAGTGCGTGGGGAATACCTGCGTCGCAAAGAGTGCAATAAAAGTTCAGGTAAACCGAGTCAAGCTCCGATTGGACGGAGGAGGGTGCGGAAAAACATATTTAAGGGCTGTTTCCCGTGTCCGGGTAAGACAGTGACAATACTTGGCATAGAAGAAGGAAGCAATTTCGAGAATTCTCACGACTCTCAATTCCACGTCGATTCGTTTACGCCAAGTTCAAACTGTGATATCTGCGATCCATACGTAATATCCGTGATCTCAAACTACACCGGTTTGAAAAAAAAAAGGAATAAAAAGAGATGGAAGTGGACGAAGGTCAGGACGAATTGAGGATGGCGACCGTTTCGACCGCGCAATCTCAAAAGACGATACCTGAGAGGAAGGGCAGTTTTAAACAATGCACGGCTCGATTCGACGGAAGTAGGGACAACTTGAACAAATTTCTGGTTACGATCTGTCTTTACAAGGACGTGGAAAGGGTGAACGAGGACGTGGCCCTGCGCGAGTTACCGCTTTTGTTCGAGGGCGAAGCGACCGCGTGGTGGGATACAGTTGGCGGCAACGTCACGAAATGGTCGCAGGCAATGTCCATGCTACAAGACTCGTTCGCTCCCAAGAAAGCCGCCTACGAGATATACGCCGAGGTGTTCTCCTCGAAACAGGAGGCCAACATAGCGACCGACGAGTTCGTCAAACAGAAACGCGCCCTCCTCGCCGATCTTCCCAACCCACATCCGGATGACGTGCAGATCGACATGATATACTGGATGCTGAAGAAACAGATACGCAGAAAGATGCCAAGAAAGGCGATAATCAACCTCGACGACATGATCGAGAAAGCCCGTTACGTGGACAACATGGAGAAGAGGAGGGCTTCGGTTAGCCGGCGTTGGGACGAGGAGACGATGGCTAAATATTTCGCCAAAGCGTTGGTCAAATGCCCCCACCACAAGCACAGAAAGGACAAGGAGAAATACTTGCACGAGCGGAACGAGGAGAGATGTCACAAGTGTAACAAACGTAAACACATCCACGGGAAATATAAAAACACGACGATAAATATTGAGCGGTTCGCGTTGTGTACGTTGGACAGCAACACATTGGAACGTTTTGCCTCATGCAGCCTCGTAGATTCCAAGGACAATACGTCGTCCTCGTCCTCTTGCCATCATCCGTCTCCCTCTTAATTTCTCGTATTTTTTGTATATTTTTCTAAATATATGTGTCTTTGTATTTTGTGTGTGTGCATGTGTGTGTGGCGCGCGCGTTTGTGTATATATGTAGATATATATTTATCTTATCCAATATTTAATCAATTTTACTATTAATATTGATTAGCTAGATATTCTTAAATATCATTATAATTTTATATCGTTTATATATTATAATCTTGATATTATTATTATTTACGTTAATAACGAGTGTGAGATTCGCACAAAGTGCGATTCCTACGATCATGATTCGTTGTATGGATGACAAATATTGTATCTGATCGAATCAAATTTTTCACCGCTCTCTTAAGAGAGAGGGGGAGGGGGAGAGAGAAAGAGAGAAAACGAACAGGTAAGATGTAAATAAAATATAATAATTATATAATAATAAAAATATAATAATTATATAATAATAAAAATATAAAAATTATATAATAATATAATATAATAAAATATAAATAAAATTAAATAAAATATAAATAAAATCATAGATCAATAGATATTCTTCAGGATTATTAATTTTTGAGATTATCGATTAAACTTCTTCGTTCAAAGTTTTCCCCAAAATTCTCGCCAATTTTTATCTCCGTACGCAACATACGTTTATTACATAAGGTATATAACGGTATATATAACCACGCTCATGGAAAATTTACCCGAGATCGACTCGTTTAACGGACGTCAGAGGTTTCGCAAAAGTCAACAAATACCTTCCCTTTGACCGAGGAAGGAAAAGGAAGGAATCCATCGTGGTTCGAACCTCGTTTACTTTAAACCGCGACATTTCGCGACGAGTGAAACGAGAGACCTAATAACCGGCTTGTTCTATCGATACCCTATATCCTATATTTTTCTCTTAAGAAACAAACTGTTTTATGCGTGGAATATAAGTTTTTTGGAATTTTTTCACAATGCAACGATAAACGTCGAACTATTACCTGGATATAAACCTTTGATATAAAATGGTGGATTATGGCTGGTTAAATAAAGGGAATACGTGAATTCGTATTTGACGAGCTCAAACAGAACAAACAGCTCGTCAAACGTACAAGGAAGAAAGGGAGGGAGAAAGGAAGGAAGGAAGGTCGAAAGTAAGAAACGACATCGTGGGCGGAACTATTCCGGCGGTAACGAACGATAAACTTTCCCCAACACGGACGGACTGGGAAAATATTTTCCAGCGGTTGGCAAGCGCCGCCTCGATGGATCCCCGGGGACTCGTTCCGATCCTACGGAGACGATACGCTCACCGAGGAACGGGGCAACACGTCATAGAGTTGGAAACGTCGAAGAGGAAGGAATTTTAGTATCCGTCCACTCGTTCGATCCACCGGAATTTTTAACTTGTCCCGCGCGCGCGCGAATCTGACAAGTATCCGGCAAGCATCTTCGCCAATATCTTCGGTTGGCTGTCCTCGTCGATAATTTATCGTCCTCCTCTCTCCTTCAGTTTTTGTTTGGCAAAAAGTATCTTCGATCTATATTCTTCGAAATATATAAGAATTTAAAATCGTTCGAATTGGTACTCGAGTTTTTTTTTTTTCTTGAGAAATTAGAGAAGTATCCATTTCTCTTTCGAGAAATATTCTCGGGATCGAGTTTCGATAGTTTCTTTCTTTCTTTGTTTTAAAATCTTTGCGCGGCTTTGTGAGGACGAAGATATTAATATTTAAATATATAGTTCGAAGGGAAAGAAGTTTTGGAGGAACAGAAGCACGGTTTCTTTTTCCTGTTCTTTGGGGCCGTAAAAAAGGGGAGGGGAGGAGAATCGAGACGAGAAGTTGCACGATCCTTGCAAGAAAATTTAATCAACGCGATACAAGGCGATAATTCGGTATTGTTCGGGGAGATTCCATTAAATTGTCCAATTAAGTTGGTACGCGCGGAATCGAGTAAAACGGGCAAGTAAATCGGACGTTGTTGAGCGCATGACGGCATACATAGGCGATACGCCGTCTGCCGACAGTTTGACGCGGTCGTTTCATTCGTAGCCGAAAGTGTAATTGCCCGTTCGGATGAAAGCCTCGTAAAGAGTTTCTGCCGTGCGATTTCGAAAATCCCGTGCTGACAGGTGCACACCCACTGTCATAAATGAAACAAACCCGTTTTCCAACACGCTCCACACCCCACCGATATATAAATTTAATGGAATTTCAAACCGAGTAATCGTTTCGTTGCAACAATTATCGAGCTACGTTGCCACGTTCGCCGTTTAAATCACCTTATCTCTCGTTTCGACGCGATTATGTTTGGCAAAGTATATACTTTTTTTTATCTCTATAAAACGATGAAACGATATGTAAAGAAAAGAGGAAAGCAATTCAATATATCTTCGCGTCGAATTCGATGTTATAAAATTCGAAAATTCTTCTATTCGTTTCATTTCGATACGATTACGAGATTACACTCGGTCTTTGCAAAGTATTCATTTATCTCGATAGTAATAAATACAAACGACGAAAGGATATATGAAGAATTTAAAAAAGCAATGCAATATCTTCGCATCGAATTCGATGTTATAAAATTAGAAAATTCTTTTACGTTACGTATCATTTCGATACGATTATGAGATTACACTCGGCCTTTGCGAAGTATATATTTTTTTTATCTCAATAATACTAATAACTACAAACGATGAAAAGATATATATAAAGAATTTGGAATTTATAAATTTTGATATCTTCGTATTAAAAATTCGCGTTAATAAATTCGAAAATTTCGTTACGTTTCGATACGATTACACTTTTTTTTTTTTACAAAATATACATTTATCTCGATAGTAATAATTATAAATGATGAAAAAAATATATATAAAAATATATATTCTTCGAGGCATGATTGAAATGTCGGTCAAATGAAAAAAACGGCTCTCCATTCGAGGATTCGAAATTTTCGAACGCGACTTCCGCCCTCGGACGTTCCAAATTTCCAGAAAAAGGTTCGAGCGCTCTCGTGTTACACGGTCGTTCCATTATGTCGCAAACAAAGTATCAAGGAGGTTTCACTATATTAGAGCCCACTTTGCCTACATTTTCACCGGCGAACCCCCGAACGCTGTTTACCTTTTACACGTAACACGACATTCTCCGCTCCTCAACCCACTCCGGTCCACAGAAAGAGACAATTTGAATTACAAATTCACGTCCGCCACTTTACCATTGTTACGAGCTCCCCTAACTCACGTATATATTCATCACAGTAATAACCGACTAAGCGAGAAAATGAAATTGCCGCTGATGCTGTAACAATTAAACCGACGTGAATCAAAGGTATAAACACATTCCATCCTACCTTTTCTACCTTATAACACGCCCCTTTTCTCACTTCGAACTCACCGCGCAACCTCACGTCTCGATTCAACGTGCGACGAAAAAGGCAATGATTTTATTCTTTCGATTTCCACGCGAGAAAACGTGTTTAGAAGGCGGGAAGAAGAGTAAGTGGCCAGACTTCTTCTCGAGGTAGAGAAGAGTACCAGCTGATTCCGAAAGATCGAGGCTGCATTTGAGCGCCGTTCGAACGAAAACAGTCAACGATCATTTTTTCCGCGATAAACAATAAAGTCGCGCGCCCTTGTTTCGAAACGAGAGATGACCTTGAGATAACTGCGCTTCGTAACGGCGTCGTGAAAGCTTAAGTGGGTGAGATTTTTAAAATTATAAAGGGAACTACGCGCACGTGTACTGTTTATATAAGCGGAGGAAACACTCACCTGATTCATGTCGAGAGATTTAAATATATATATATATATATATAATAAGTATAATATGATTATAGTAAGTATAGTATAATTAATATATATATGAGATATAAGATTTAAATTATATTAAAAATAATATGTAAATAAGTTCTTTCCCCCTTCCTTTTCCAAATTCAAGATTTTATTACAAGATTACCCAATTATTTCAATCGGATAAATTGTCAGGTGATCTTTTGCCGATTTTTCTCGTGTCTGGATCGAATTTTCGTCGAGCGACTCGAATTTTAAATCTTTGCTATAACTTTTCGCAAGATCAACTTTCCGTAAGATAGTGGCGCGTAAACCATTTCAGTAGCCGATTTTTTAAGCTAGAACGCAAAAAGTAAATAAATTACACAGGATTGGAAACTCTCAGAGCGTTGATCGCAGCTCTTCTTAAAAACGAAAAAAGAACGCTGTTTTGGATGGCCACGAGCGATAAACTAATTCGAATTCGGTCAAAAGTTACGATCGAAAAAGAAAGGAATTTATTTGAGCACAAGATTTTTTCCTTTCACCTCCTTTTTTCGCGTATTCGCGAGATAAGCGTGGATCGAATCACGTTTGATTTATAGAAACAGCCCGACGCACGTTTCGCGGATTTAATTTTTTATTTTCGACAGCCTTCCCTCTTCCTTTTTCAATTTTGTTTCGTTTTCAGATTCGAACAAATGTTGGGGACACGAGCTCGCGCGATAACATTGGCCGATCGTTCAGACTCGGTCGATAATGAAGCTGCGCGATAGAAATTCGTTGTCGATTGTTTAGTTAGCTTTCGAAACCTGCGAAGACATATGTACTAGGTGTAGAAATTGAAAGTTTAATTAAACTTGGATGGAATAGGCTCTTTTTCCCCCTCCCCCGATTTTTCTTCTCCGGATTTCGAGTTCGATTATAAGGCGCATCGTTTATTTCCCCCTTCCGCGCGTCATAGAAATATATTTCTCGTGCAACGAGGATAGAAGGTGACGAAGGAAGAGGGGAGGGGAGACAACTGCTGCACGATATTTCCTCGACCGTTTTTTTCCACTGAATTAGAAGGACGCAGCGCGGCGCGCAAAACCGTTGATGCGAACATTACTTTTATCTCAACGCGAGTAATTAAACGAAATAAATTTCTCGTCGTGCGTTGTTTGTTATATTTATTTACGTTTTTCATTGCTCTTCGATCCTCTTTGTTCGTCCCTTCTCTTTCCCCTCCTCTTTGTTCCCAATTCAGGAGGAATCCGAGTATTGT